TAGAATTCCTCGTTATGTCCAGGTAGACTTAGATTCACGCCATGCTTTAAATGTACTATTTGAGTCATCCTTCCCTGTTTAATTTCTTTATTTCGCATTACGGCCCGAGATTAGACATGCATAGAGTAATGGACTCCCTATTTTAGATATTCGATGAGCCACTTGATTAGACATGGAAATTATGCTTCTCTTACGAATTTCTCCCACGTTTTGCATGTTCGTCGAAAAGTTTTCTTAAACTTTATAACTCACACGTATGTTCGTGAGTGGGGTAAAGGACCAGTTAAAGCTTCTTATTCTAATGGGATCGGGCTATTCGCCTCTACAAGATTATGTATCACACTCTTATGGGATCAGGTTGTTCGCGTCGGCAGGATTATGTATCACATTCTTGTGGGATCGGACCGTTTGCCTCGACAGGATATTGTAACACATTCTTATGGGAGTTGTTTGCCTTGATAGGATATTGTAACACACTCTTATGGGATCAGGTCGTTCACCTTGGCAGGATATTGTATCATATTCTTATGGGATCGGGTTGTTTGTCTTGGCATTTCTATAAAACATACTTATGGGATCGGGTCATTCACCTCGGCAATGTCATGTATTACACTCTTATGGGATCGGGCCGTCTGCCTCGGCAACTTCATGAAATACTCCTTTGGGATCGGGTTGTTCGCCTCGGCAGAATCGTGCGTAATATCTTACAAAAAGCCATTGTATCCGTGATTTTTCCTGACTTGAGTTGTGATGACCTATCTGGTGGGGACCATATTATATGTACTCCATTTGAGGAGGTAACCGATATTTGAGGACTTGTGTTTACTATTTAGAGGAGGATTGTATCATGTACCTATATTTGTTTTGCTGTTTAATTACCATGCTTCATACTTGTTTACTTTTACTGCACTTGATTTATTGGACAACTAGTAAGTGTCGATGTTGACCCCTCGTCACTACTTCTCTGGGGTTAGGCTAGATACTTACTTGGTACACATTGATTTATGTACTCATGATATACTTCTACACTTATTGTGCAGGTATATACATTTTTGTGGTCTTTTGGGCGCTAGGGCGCAACTATTGCGAGGACTTTACGGTGAACTGCATCCCATGTTACGATCCGCAGTATAAAATCTCCATCATAATCATTTACATTATCCTATATATCTTGCATTTCAGACATATGTTGTATTGTTATTGTACCTTCTAGTAGATGCTCATGCATTTGTGACACCGGGTTTTGGGGGTTCCTAGTTGATGTTCAATATTGTAGTTTACGTTGTTATTATCGTTTCTCTTTATGTTTTATTTATATTTGAAATTTTGTAAAGAAAAGCATAGGCTTCTATGAGTGCTAGATTTTATTCTATTTATTTAATGAAACTCTTGATTTTTAAAAATTAAAATGGATAATTATGTAGATAGTTCACCGCTGGCTTGCCTAACGGCAACATTGGGCGCCATCATGGTCTATAGTATATTGGTCGTGACAGCTTAGATAGTTCACTGTTGGTTTGTCTAACGGCGACATTGGGTGCCATCACGGTCTATAGTGGATTTCGAATCGTGACACTTAGTAATGGCATAATTCAACATAGTCACTCCCCTTTCTCTTCTCCTGTATTAGTAGTTAAGAAAAAAGATGGTAGCGGGAGGTTTTGTATTGATTATAGAGCCCTCAACAACATGACTATTAAGGATAAATTTCAAAATTCTTTAGTAGATGACTGATGAACGAGTTACATGGCTCTTGTATATACTCTAAGATTGATTTAAAGATTGGTTACCACCAGATTAGAATAGGAGAAGAAGACATCTATAAAAATACCTTTAGAACTCATTTGGGACATTATGAGTTCAAAATCATGCCCTTTGACTTGACAAACACACCTGCAACCTATCAATCACTTATGAATAATGTATTTAAGGCATATTTGAGGAAGATTGTGCTAGTGTTCTTTGATGACATTCTTATCAATAATGCATCTTTGGAAGATCATGTCACACACATTTAGGTGGTGCTGAATATACTAAGGAAGAAGCAGCTTTTTGCCAAACTTTCTAAGTACTCATTTGGGAAGTATATAGTGGAATACTTGGAACACATCATTACTGAAGAAGGAGTAGCCACATACCCCTCAAAGATTGAAGTAATGGCCAACTCACCAACTCCCATAACAATGAAAGCACTTAGGGGATTTCTGGGTTGATGAGATACTACAGAATTATTTTAGGTCATATGGGGTAATCAACAAACCCCTCACAAATTTACTCAAGAAGAAAGGATTCCAGGGGAACACAGAAGCTGCCATAACCTTCTAATCATTGAAGACAATCATGACAATTGCCCCAATACTGGCTTTGGCTGATTTCACTTAACCTTTCATAGTTGAGACTGATGCATGCTCCAGTGGCATAGGAGTTGTATTAATGCAAGAAGAAAGACCTACAGCCTTCTGCAGTAAAGCACTAGCACCAAGCCACATGAGCTTGTCAACATATGAGAAGGAGTACATGGCTATTTTGTCAGCTGTGAAAAAATGGAGACACTACTAACAAGAGGGACATTTTATAATCAAAACAGACCACAAAGCCTAAAATACTTGTTGGAGCAGAGAGTTACCACAACTTTGCAGCAGAAAGGGTTAAGCTAAATTGATGGGGTTGGATTATGAAGTACAATACAAGAAGGGCACTGAAATTAGGGTGACAGATGCCTTATCTAAAGTACAAGAAATTGAACCTAGCCTACTAACCTGGATGTCAGAAATTGAGCTCAGCTATGAGCATGATCCTACTGCTCTTTAACTTATCACTGCGCTGATAATCACTCCTAGCAGCAACCCTAAGTATTCTCTTACACAAGGAATTTGAGGTATGAACAGAAGATCTATATGGGCAGAAGTTCTGATCTAAGAACTAAAATGTTTGATCTGCTGCATCATTCCCCTCTGGAGGACACCCAGGATAGCAAGGCACTCTCAAAAGGATAAAGATGATATTTTATTGGATTAACATGAAACACGATGTTTTCAAGTGGGTATCTGAGCATGTGACACTTGTTAGAGGGTCAAAACTACCAACTCACACCCTACTGGCCTCCTACAACCACTGCCCATTCCCGACCTTCCTTGGCAAGATATAGCCATGGACTTTATAGAAGGTCTGCCTTCGTCCAGACACAAGAATGTCATCTTAGTTGTTGTAGATGGATTAACTAAGTATGGCCATTTCCTATCACTAAAGCACCCTTTTAATGCTCAGGATGTTGCTGATTTGTTTCTAAAGGAAATCTACAAGATTCATGGCATACCTAAATCAATTGTCACTAACAGTGACTCAGTATTCACTAGCTAGTTCTGGCAAAGACTGTTCAAATTTACAGGTACTAAGCTCAAAATGTCACCAGCCTACCATCCACAAAACGATGTGCAAACTGAAAGACTGAATAAGTGCCTGGAGTCCTACCTCAAGGCTATGATGTTTACCAACCCCAAACAATGGGTCAAGTGGTTACCACTCGCTGAGTGGGGTTTAACACCAACCACTACTATTCCTTAAACACTACACCCTTTCAAGTCTTGTATTGGTTTTACCCACCCCAGGCCCCTCTAGGGTCTCTTCCCCACTCGAACCAGACTCAAGCAGGCACATGCATTGCATAAAAATAACAAATGCTACAGATACTTAAGAAGAATCTCACACAGGCTCAGGCCATGATGAAATTCTATGCAGATCGGAATAGACCTGACCGAGTTCTAGAAATGGGTGACTATGTCTACCTCAAACTCCAACCTTTGCAAAAAGTCCTCCTTAGCAATCAGAAAAAATATAAAGCTAAGTGCAAAGTTCTACGGGCCTTACAAGATTCTACAGAAGATAGGAGAAGTGGCTTACTGGCTTGAACTGCCTACAGGCTCGCAGATCCATCATATCTTTCACATCTCTCAGCTGAAGCATCGTGTAGATCTACATATCACTCCTCAGCTCCAGACTCTGATTTGTGACTCAGATGGCCGAGTCTTAGTGCAACCCATCGCCATTTTACATAGGAAGATGGTAAAGGTTAATAATGTCGTTGGGGGTCAAGGTTTTGGTTCAACGGGCGAATCTAGGCCAAGAAGAAGCTACTTGGGAAGACTAGGGGCATGTGATGCGTCAATTTTTGGAGTTCGTCGCACAACTATGACCTTCGGGACAGGTCTTTTTCTTAGGAGGGGTATTGTAATGTTCTAGGAGTTGGTCGAATTCTTTGTCGGAGAAGAAATGAATTAGGAAAGTAGTATATTAGGGCTTTAAATTGAAGGCCACATGACTAGAGAAGAAGGGCATGTGCAATGCAAATCAACGGCCAAGATCAAATCTAGCTTAATACAAATTAAAGGCCCAGATTCACTCCAGCTAATTAGTTAGTGGGCTCAGTCGTTCAATTGGTGGGCTTAGCCGTTATAACATAATTGGGTTGGGAAAGAGAATTCAACTTTTGATCGGTAATTTCTCTCTCTTCCTCCGTTATTCTCTCATTCTCTCCTTTCACTCTCCTTCTTCCTTCTTCATTTATAGTCGTTTGACCTAATTCAGTTCCATCTCCATTAAAGGTGATGATCGAGATGAGTGGAGTTCTTACCAATTGTTTTCTTTTCTAATCTTGTAACAGTTGATTAGTGAATTGTAATTCCATTTGAGTGATCAATAAAACTTCCATTTTCGTATCAATTGATTCTATAAATTGGTAGAATATTACACATTATACCATTATATAGAACTATTTTATCATACATATATAAAATGGGTGATCAATATATAATATGATGTAAAGAAGGGAGAAAACTAACTTGCATATGTGGACAAACAGTACATTGCTCGAAGCCACAATATTGTTAAATATATACAACAACAAATATATTTTGCGATTATTATTTTTTTTGAGCGGCTACACTGTATAATTTTCCTTAAAAGAATTTGGCCAATCATAATCCTATTTTGAAATAAATTAATTTGGGCTTGGGAAAACAATCACATGTTAACCTCATCATTGCTCAAGTGCCAAACAGAAAAACACATTTTCGCTTATAAAGAAACAACTATGTTCAACATCATATATGGAGCACTAAACAAACATGACGAAACTATGCTACAGAGAGGGACAATTGTTCATCATAGAATAGAACAAATTAAACATTTTTTAAGATTACTTCCATCCCCATATCAGAATTCTACATCACCTGAAACCAACAAAAACACACATGCATTAGTCAATACGCAAGGAAATTTGCAAAATGATATAGAGGCATATATGATGGAGGACTCACTCAAATATGAAAAGAATTAATTAAGAAGAAAGAGGAGTAATTACTTGAGCACTCCTGCATGGATTGGTGACATCACAGTAACTCTCAAGTGTGATGAGAGCTTGATTGTCTAAATCCTTGGCGTAATTATAGCAGTCGCAGTTACGGCCAAGCATAATACTGAATGTTGGGCAACATTGGTCTATGGAAGCAGTGTTCAACATGCAATTCTTTATCTTTTCTTTATCCTTTGCACAACAAGTTGCCACACCTTGGTTTCTACTATTCCNGCTGTTCTTGCAGTTGTTGGTTGCAACTACTCTTGTTGTCCATGGCCTTGCTAGTTTCAACCACCTCTTCCAGCTGCTTCATTTCCTGCATCAATAACAACTAGGGATGAGTTATTAATTTCTTTTCAATTTTAGGGGGAAAAGTTGAGGGAAAAAAATCTAAAAGAGAATTTTCTGAGCATTTTTATCAGTGTTTCCGTTTTACGTTCTCAGTATAATTTAACCTATGGTGGTAGATTGGTTCTACATTTTACTAAATTATCAATTAAAGCTTATCATAGAAAGATTTACGTGAAATTATAATTACCTTATATATGACATGATTATATAAATATCGCTCTATAGAAATTAAACCCATTTTATCATAAAAGAGTGATCAACAATATGATATAAAGAATACGTACAAGCAAAGAAGGCGGAAAACTAACTTGCTTATGTGGACAAGGATTCTTGAAGCCACAATATTTTTGAAGAGCAGTAAACGCTTCTTTATTCACATGCTCGGCCAAACGCCAGCAAATGCAATTTCGTATAGGCATAGTACTGAAGGGGAATAACGCGCAGCATTCGGTTATGCAACTGGTAGTTGCGTACCTCGCGCAATTGTAGATTTTCAAGCAATTATCAGTTGCACTAGGTACAAATAATGTCCATGGTGATGTGGTGCTATTGGCGCCCTTGTTGACATCTGCTAATTGCACCTGCTGCTTTACATGTCCGTAGCAGTTTTTAGCATCACCGAGAAAAAAAACTTATCCGCATTCAAACATATACATTAAATTAGTAAATGCATGACATGTATTTTATACTATATAGATATTTTTCTTTCAATTGACAACAGTTAATAATATACATTCTCACCTCTCAGGCAGAAATTGGTGAAAACTTGGAGACAAGGATTCAAATTCCAGCAAATATTCACACAACTTTGAACTCAAAAGCTAGAGGAAGAAAACGGATTAATTGCAATGGAGGCTGATATGCAACGAGGATGATGGGGAATTGATAATGGCTATAGGCTGCCAATTGCTTTAGCTAAAAAAACAAATTATGAGCTATACACCAGATGCCAATAACAAGATTTTGGGCTTTTTTGTGCCATTCACGGAGCATGCATGGTTGACATACAGTCCAAAGTTTCAAATACGGAGTAATAAGAAAAGGAACATTCGCACATACATACAAGAACATGACATGACATGTATTTGTACATACATTTTTTCTTTTCACTTGATAATGGTTAATAAATATACATTCTCAGGCAGAAGCCATGAGTGCAAAAAGTAGAAATCATAGTTTAAATTCCAGTCAATATCAAAAATGCTAGGTGCGTAATTCTTGATAGGAAATATTACACGATAACTACATTGGTGGGAAGGAGTGCCGGAGCTAAGATTCACTAAGGGGGTCAAAACATAAATAAGTAAATCCGTAAAGAAGCCAAGGGATGTCAATATATATATATATATAAAATTTACCTAGCGACACAGTAATTTTCTTATGAAGGGATAGTTGCTATCTCATAGCTTGATTACATGTGGCTTCGGCGCTGGTCGTATGGAGGTATAAGATACCTAGTTAAATAGTCGAGGTGCACACAAGTTGGCTGCCCGACAACCACCATTCTCAGCTCAATCTATCACTTAACTATACTAAGTTAATTTGATTTGTTATAAACAATGGATGCGAATAAGTATTTTCCGCAAACTGATTTATATTTGACTAGAACTTTAGATACTCTTCATTCCAATTACAACTTTCTTTTAGCAATTAATAAAGGCTGATTTATCAAGTACTGCAATTAGTTTCTACTTTTTTCTCTATAGAAAATAAATTGATCCGTATTTTTGGCAAGAGGGGAAAATGTAGTGAGTTGCTATCTCATATTTCTTGCATCTATTTGGCATGGTTTTAGCAGAGAAGAAAAACCATCGATATTGTTTAGTTTTAAGGGAGGGAACAATTTGGGGTGAAGCTTATAACATGGAACGAAACTTTATAACACACCGAAAAGAAAAGAAACTTTACACAGTAACAAAATTAGGAGTAACTAATTACCAAAAAAAAAAATTGGAGTAGCTAATTATATCATGAGTTTACCTCTTCAGCCGTCGCCAGCCGGTGACTGCAAAGTACGATTGCGACCACCGTAAAGGTGAGCATCACCAACCCTCTGCTCATTTTCGCCGTCGCCATATTTTCTCTCTCTAAGCTTGTGTTTAAATAACTAGCTATCTAGCTAGTAATCCCCCACTATTATATACACTTTTTAAGTGATAGTTTAATTTTAACAACTTTGACATATTGTATACTCGGTATATAATTTCTACAAGCATGTGTAGAAATCGTGTTTAGGAAAAAAAAATTGATTAATTCAAAAATTTACTGACAGGCTATGGCGCGTTTTCCTATTTCAGATCTCTGGATATATAATAGAATCCTTTAGTAGAGAAATTTTATTTTATGTCTAATTGCTTGTTTTAGAAAAGCATTTTCCGAAAGGATTAAAGAAAGCACGGAAAACTATGACGTACTGTTCATATACTATATACATATTTGTTATATTGATAATTGCTACTATATGTGCTAGTGAAGAGGAAATAATCAGAAAAAGAAATAAAGAAATTGATGAAATTATACTAACGTAGTTTTGTGATAATTTAAGAACTTTAATTTTGCAATTTGTGATTACCCATTGTTCGCTAATTAAGAAAAAGAGAAGTGACATTGTGATTATTCTTATTTATGTGGATGATCTATTAATGATGAGTGGAAGCCCTCAGATGGCAAACAAAAGCAAACAAAACATTACAAAATAATTTCATGATTAAAAATCTTGGTGAGATGAGATACTTTAGGAATTGGAAGTAGTTAGATCACAGGAAGCCATAATGTTATGTTAAAGGAAAAATGTCTTAGAATTGATCTCTAAAATTGATATAGAGGCGCAAAATCAACATACACAATCATTGAAGGTGAATCAGAAGCTCATTTCAGTTGAACTTGATTAATTAATGAAGGGTGATGAAGATTGAATTATTAGATGATCCAGGGATTTTTTTCGAAATAATTAGAGAAGTACATGAGGGGTACTTCCTGTTAAATAATATGAGGATAAAAGTTTCATTATCCATAAATTAGTTAAGTGGTTAAGTAAGTAGTTAGGAGTTAGTTAAGCTTGTACTTTATATATGTATCCGAATACCTTCACAATAATCAATCAATGAGAATTCCTTTTCTCCTATCTCTCATTTTTATCTTCTTCTTCCTCAAATTACATCATGGTATCAGAGCATTTAGCTCAAGAAATTGAAACTTTTGATCTATAATTTTCTTCCGCAACTCTATTTCTTCTCAATTCTGAAATTCTGTTCTCATTCTATTTTCTTCTGCAATTGGTATTCTGCATTTGCAATTCATTCACATTCTGCAATTCATAATCTGTGAATTTAAACTCACGAAATTCTTGAAGCAAGAAACAAAAGAAAATGGGGTCAATCGATGAATAAGTGAATCTTAATACTGGAAATCAAAGTCAAACTACAACTAGAAATCAGGTGCCTGAGATCGACTATAATCACCCATTATTTCTTTCTCCTGCTGATGTTAGCGGAATTCAAATCATATCATTTCAGCTAACAGGAATCGAAAACTATTCTATTTGGAATCGCTCTATGTGTGTTCTTCTGTTAGGAAGAAACTAGTTGGGCATGGTAGATGACACATGCAACAAAGAGAAATTTTCAGATTCAAAGGGAAATAACTAGGAAAGAGTGAATGCCATTGTGTTATCTTGGCTGATGAACTCAGTAGCTAAAGGTCTTCTTGGAGGCATCATGTATGCTTTGAGTGCCCAAACTGTGTGGGAAGATTTATCAGAAAAGTTTAATAACATAGATGACTCAAGAACATTTAATTTGCATAAAGAAATAGCCACTCTAACTCAGGATTTTGCATCATCTTCTGTGTATTTTTCAAAACTTAAATATCTTTGGGAAGTATTTGAGGCCTTAGTTCCATAACCTAGTTGTGACTGTCCTAAGTCAAGGGATTTTGTTAACTACTTACAACAATTAAGGTTGTATCAATTTTTAATGGGACTTAATGAGTCCTACTCCCAAGCAAGAAGTCAAATCTTGATGAAGCCACATCTACCTGTTATTAATCAAGCATATGCTTTGATAGTGAGTGATGAAAGTCAAAGATCCATATCAGCAAAATCTGGAATTCTAGAAGTTAATCCAGTTGGAAACTTTGACATTGCCATGTATACCAGAAATGGTGGGGGAGGACATAATCATAGGCTCAAGAGGAACTTCAATGTTCATGTCCAATTTTATGAATACTGCAAAATAAGGGTCACACCAAAGAAAACTGTTACAAACTTGTAGGATATCCTCAGGATTTTAGGCGGAAGAAGAAAGGATATAATGCATCTCACAATGCCAATGTTTTAGCTAAAAATAATAGCAACTCAAATTCTGCTACACCTATGTTCAACTATGGTCAAAATACAAATGCAGTGGACAAGTTTGCTAATGAAAACCAGTATGAACAACTAGGAAACTATAGTCATGGAATGGAATCTCTTACAAATCAACTGGGAAATGATGCCTTTACAAAGGAACAATATGATCAGATTATTCAACTATTGAACAAATAAGGGACTTCAGCAACTACTGCTAATATAGACTCAGCTGCAAATGCAACAGGTACTGACACATCATTCTTGGTTTCAAATGGTTCACAAGAATGTATTATAGATACTTGTGCAACAAATCACATAGTATCTGATTCTAATCTTCTGAACAAATATACAATAGTACGAATCACTAATCCTAAGAAAGTCCTTCTACCAAATGGTGAAGTATCTCTAGTTACTCAAGCAGGAGCAAGCTCAATTTCTGCTAAGAGTACTATAACTAATGTATTCCATGCGCCTTAGTTTAAGTATAATCTGTTTTCAGTCTCTAAAATGACAAAAGAATTACAATGTGCAACAACATTCTTTCCTGATTTTTATATTTTTCAGAATTTCTTCACTAGGAAGCTGCGGGAGATTGGTAAAGAAGAAAGAGGATTGTACATCTTGTTAGCTCAACTTCCAAGGAACAATAATAGAGTTGTATGTGCTGCTAAGGAACTGGCAATGAGTGAAGCTAACAAAATCAATGTGGAGTTATGGTATCAAAGATTTGGACGTGTATCTATACTAGTACTTAAGAGAATAATTCCTGTTAGCCTACAGAATATTAAGGACAAAGTAGATAAATGTACAATCTATCTTTGTGCTAAGCAAACTAGACTTCAATTTTTATCTAGTAGTATCAAAAGTATTGTTGTTTTGATATGATTCATGTAGACCTATTGGGTCCATATATAGTAGCTACTTTTGATGGCAACAAGTACTTTCTAACTATAGTGGATGATTACAATAGAATGACTTAGATTTTCCCGCTTAAACAAAAGTTAGATGTTTACCTGTGTTTACAACATTTCTTCAGCTTTGTCAGACTCAGTAATAAAACTATCAAGGTTATCAGAACAGATAATGGCACAAAATTTGTGAATTCTAATTGTGCAGACTTATTTAAATAATTGGAATGATACATCAAAGAACTTGTGCTTACACCCCTCAACAGAATGGGGTAGCTGAAAGAAAATACAAACATATTTTAGAAGTAACAAGAGCTATAAGACTGCAAGCACACATTCCTATCAGATTCATGGGTCACTACATTCTTGCTGCAGTATATTTGATTAACAAACTACCTAGTTAAGTGATTGAATATCTCCTTATGAAAGGTTACATAACAGAAAACCTTCACTGAAATATTTAAGAGTGTTAAGGTGTTTGCACTTTACAAAAATTGTACAAGAACAAGCCAAGTTGATTCCTAGATCAAAGAAGTTTGTCCATATGGGATATTTAGAAGTGCACAAAGGCTATATACTATATGATCTAGAAAATAGATCATTTTTTGTCAATAGAGATGTCATATTCAGAGAAGACATCTTTCCATTCAGAAGAGCACTTCCTTCTTGACACCTCTATTTGTAGATACTACACCATCTACAGGGCCTTATATAGATGATACTAACATTATGTTTGAAGCTAATGCAGGTCAGCAGACTAACAATCACACTAATGTAGATAACACAGAAGCACTAACAATAACTCAAATACCAGTAGTTGATAACATAAAAGAACACTATTATATTCAGCAAAACAATGTTTTCATTGATCATCAGATGCCTACTGAAGGAGAAATACAAGCACAACAGTTTACTCAAAATGTGTCAACTGGAATATTGGGTAGAAGTCAATCCAATCCACAACAACTTCCAGTCAGAAAATCTAACAGAGATACACAACTGCCAGCATAGATGAAAGATTTTGTGTCATTGAATATTCACCAAGAGGTGCCTTATGCTATGAATAAATACATAGGGTATGATCACCTATCTCCAAAATATCAAGCCTTTGTTGTAGTTTTTTCTTCTACTACTGGACCTGCTACATATGCTGAGGCTAGTAAAGATCTTAGGTGGATATCAGCAATGAAAGAAGAAATAAAGGCTTTAGAAAGCAATAACACCTGGAAATTAGTTGCATTACCTGAAGGAAAGAAACTTATAGGCTACAAATGGATATACAAAATAAAATATCAAGCTTTAGGGGAGATAGAAAGGTTTAAGGCTAGACTTGTATCCAAATGTTATAGCCAACAAGAAGGCATTGATTATTAAGAAATATTTTCATTTGTGGTGAAAATGGTAATTATTAGAACAATATTGGCATTGGTAGCTGCTAAACAATGATATATACAACAAATGGATGTATATATTTCCTTTCTACAAGGTGATTTACTTGATGAAATTTATATGGATCTACCTCAAGGATTTAGAAGTCAGGGGGAGAAGACGGTATGCAGACTTACCAAATCCTTGTATGAATTAAAGCAAGCCCCAAGACAATGCAATGTGAAACTATCTGAAGCTCTTGTAAAGTTACAATTCAAGCAAAGTCAATTTCATCATTTCTTATATATGAAAATGACAACTGAAGGTATGGTATTGGTTTTAATATATGTTGATGACATGTTACTTACTGGTGACAATTTGGAATTGATTCAAGACACCAAGAATTCTATACAAAATATTTTCAAAATGAAAAATCTCAGAGAGTTAAGGAATTGATGATCTTTTAACTTTTTGGGGTTAGAGTTTGCTAGATCCTGTCAAGGTGTTGTTACTTA